AAAAAAACTCAGAATTTTTTTAGTTTAAAACCTAAAAAAAAAGAATATAAAAAATATTTTAAGCAAACTTACTATATATAGTTAATCATAATTTAGGATGCAAATTATATTTACTATATTAAGAAAATGTCAAACCTTTTTATGTAGATACAGATATAGATGTCAATGATAAAATAACCAAATCAAAACTATTATTGATAACAGATCTAGAAAGTTTCAACTAACTATATCCCCCTATCCCCCTATATATTAATCAAGAACGCGCTGAGCCTACGTGGCTGCTTCTGGTGCTTCGGAATCCTATGTGGCAAAATTACATGCTTCGTTATTAGGCCTGGGTAAATTTTAATTTAATTGCAAACCAAAAATAATTAGGTTCGGATTACCATAAATATATTGATTATTTATGGTCATGTTACATGTATTAATTGCATTTTAATATCATTCCTTATTATAACTATTGAATTGTATATATATTTTAAAAGTTAATAACTTCTGTATTTTTTATCAGTTTTACATATGTAATATATCAAATTAATCTTCTTTTGATGAGCTTCGATTTAACATCCATATGTATGTATAAAAAAATAATTAATATTTATCTTTATAACAATAATAAATTCCCCCTATATATTAATCCAGAACGCGCTAGCCTACGTGGCTGCTTCTGGTGTTTCAGAATCCTATGTGGCAAAATTACATGCTTCGTTATTAGGCTTGGGTAAATTTTAATTTAATTTCAAACCAAAAATAATTAGGTTCGGATTACCATAAATATGTTGATTATTTATGGTCATGTTACATGTATTAATTGCATTTTAATATCATTCCTTATTATAACTATTGAATGGTATATATATTTTAAAAGTTAATAACTTCTGTATTTTTTATCAGTTTTACATATGTAATATATCAAATTAATCTTCTTTTGATAAACTTCGATTTAACATCCATATCGTATGTATAAAAAAAATAATTAATATTTATCTTTATAACAATAATACAATTATTTTTAATATTAGTTAGAAAAATAAAATTATTTATCAACTAATATATTTATATTTCAAGTAGTTATATGATATAAGTTATAAAAACGAATATAATATAACACATGTAAGTCATAAGTAACACATATCATTCTAAAATATATAGTAATATATTTTTTTTGTAAAAAAGTAAAACTAAATTTAATATAATTTTCTCATTAATTTTAAAATTTAAAAATAACTTTTTAACAAGCACCTGTGTAATACACGGGTGTTGTACTAGTTCATAACTAAATAAAAAAGTATTGAACTTACACATTATTTTGGTCATTCTTTATGTCAATAAATTGTGTTAAAGTAGTTTAATCCTTTAAATTTATCTTTAACAAAAAAGATATAAACTAATTAATTTGACTGAACAAATCTAACTTAGTCCTACTACAAAAATAGTTTCATGGTGTGGTCCGACTAGACTATAAAAGGATATGATTAATAGTGTTCTCACTTTCCTTCCTTGGTGACTCGAATCCATGACCTAATAATATAGGAGAAGCGTCATACCATCAAACTGCGCTTCGTTGTCGGACTATATAGGTGGATTGTTTGCTACAACCTCTTTTGATTATTAATCAATTATTGCTACAATTCACAAAATTAAAGTTTCCCTCAAACACATAAGAAAAAATAAAAGCAGCTGGCACATTGGATGTATATATTTTGAGGAGATGCTACGGTTCCGTTACGGATCCATTTCGTCAGAGTTTGTAATCGTTGGATCAACTATGCCGACAGTTACATGATGATCTAATGGTCACAAACCCCAACGGAATAGTTCCGTAACTGGACCGTAACATTTCCCTATATTTTGTGGAAACTCATCCATGTGGTAAGACAATATCAAACTCAACTGTTAGATTTATTACAAGCGCATGAGCATACTCGCTCGCCATATTTGCCACCACAAAAGATATATCATGGTACAAGGACATTATTATATTATTACAAGAACTGTTCTACAGAAGAAAACTAAGATATCATCGCTGGAAGGTTGCAGAGAATAACTCAATGTCTTGCCTGGAAAAACCAGATAACACATGAACACTTTTTCAGCAGACTTTATTCTTTCAAAACCAGACATAGAACAAAAAAAAAAAAACATCAATAGGTTTTTGCCTCCATACTTCTCTCCCTCGCGCTTCCGTCTATCGACCGGCCCTTTGCGCCATCGACATCAGAGTATAGCTTTTTCGACTCAATGACCTGCACAAAACCCAGACACACGGTGAAAACAAGGTAAAAAAAACCAAGTACTATTATCACAAATTATTATCAACTCACGTGCGAACGAGAGTTGCCGTTGGCCGATGGCTTCCTCGGGCTCAGAGCTCCCGGGAAGTCGGGCATTGACTCCTCGGCAAGCGCCCTCAGCCTGTTCAGCTCCGGCAACACCGCGGTCCCAAGGTCGGGCCTGTCCTTGCGCCTCAGCTCCGTGCACTTGAGTGCCAGCTTGGCGAAGACCAGAGCCTCCTCGACCGGCCAGTCGTGCACTTGAGGGTCGAGCATCTGTGCAAAAGTACCCTTCTCGATTGACCTCTCGACGTGGTGCGTGAGACCCATGGGTGACTTGGCGGTGATGATCTGCAGCAACATGACTCCGAGGGAGTAGACGTCGGACTTGATGCCGAGCATGCCCGTCTGCTGGTACTCGGGGTCGATGTAGCAGAAAGTGCCAGCTGTCGAGGTCATGCGGTACTGGGTGACGGTGTTGGCCACGGAGGGCGGGACGAGGCGAGCGAGGCCGACGTCGCTGATCTTGCTGACGAGGTTGCGGTCGAGGAGGATGTTGGCCGGCTTGAGGTCGCGGTGGACGAGGGGCTCTGGCTTCGTCTGGTGGAGGAAGAGGAGGCCAGTCCCGATCTCGGCTGAGATGCGGAACCGAGCCTGCCAGGAGAGAGCCGGCGTGTTGCCACGCCGAAAAAGACGGTCCTCGAGGCTGCCATTGGCCATGTACTCGTAGACCAGGCATCCATACTCGGGGCAGGCGCCCAGGAGGAGGACCATATTCGGGTGTCGGATGCAGCTCAGGACCTCCACCTGTGTGAGGTTGTGTAAAAGTGTTTTTCTATCGAGACTTTTGATAAAATTTTAGATATAATAATGCTGTAAAATTTTGCCGCACCTCCTGCTGAAACTGTGATCTCCCTTGGGCGGCGTCCGGTCGAAGAACCTTTATTGCGACTTCGGTGTGATCCAGCTGGCTCTTGTAGACCGGCCCGTATCCGCCTTCCCCTATTTTGCGATGCTCTGCAAAGTACTCCGTGGCAGTTTCGACCTCCTCTATGGAGTATTTGCGGTACCTGACGTCGTTATTTGCCAGCCTGTCCAGCACCCTCCTTTTCTCCTCAGCTTCTTTAACCGCTTTCATCTCAGCACTAATTCTCTTCCGAGCTTCGAGCTCAGCTAGCCTCTGAGCTTCTGCAGCTTTCTCGATAGCTATCCTGCATTTCTCCTTTTCCTTCTCAGCAATTAGTAATGCCGCCTCCTCAGCCATGCGTGCCTCTTCGAGCTTCTGTTGTTCTTCCACTTTCCAGCGGTGTAGCTCTAGTGCCTTCAACAGAACCATTGAAAGTTAAGCGTCGATTTCATTTCTTTTATATATATATTGTTTGTGATGAAAGAAAGTATGCTTAATTTTAACTAATATTCTCAAGATTTAAGTATCCTACTTTTTGTTTTGCTGTGAGTGCTTCTTTGCAGGCTGTGCTGTACATGTCCATTGTTTGTTTGAGCTCCTGCTTTAGCCTTCTCATCTCTGCTTCGACATCTTCCTGCATATATAAATATTTCACTTGAGTTCAATTTATAAAACACGGATGCCTGATCGACTTTAGTGTTTGTTTACCAGACTCTGTGATCCACACCAGGGGACATTTCCACTTTCCTGAGAGCTGGACGAGTAGACTCCGAAACTGTTGTTTGCATCCGATGACCTGGCGTTTGAGAATTGCGATCCGAAACTCGACCTGTTATCCGTGTCCGAGCTGTTTGAAAGGCGTGGGGCCATCATCATATCCTGATCAAATAATGAGTTCATGCGCTCGTTGCCCGGCCTCGCTGGGCTCACGAATGATATGTCGGAGTCGGCCACCGTGAGTTCACCGTATGATCGGTTTGCAGTTTTGCCTCTTGTGAAAGGCGACCTGCATATGAGTTGACAGTTGTTTGAATCAGTCTGTTAGCTTTTTATAATGCATTGGGCTGAAAGACTAATAATGCTCTCGTTCAAATTCATCTTTTTGTTGTTGGGTAGGAACGACAATTACTTATGCAACGATGGCTTTATGAAGCTGCATTGGATGTCCGGCAAGATAGACATGTGTTCTTTCTGTTTTCTAGTTTATATATGATTATGGGATTTGTGACAGACAACCTTGTGCTTCAATCTAATTGCTAAAAACGACTAACATTTTGTCGAAACTATAGAATTTCTCTTGAGATTTGTATGCTAACTTTATAAAACTTCGAGAGAACGAACATTCGTGATAACACCATGGAAGGGGTTCGGTGTTTTGAATGAGAACTCTATTTTCTTTCTCATTATTATGCGGTATATTTTAAATCTCTTGTGGTATTTGTAATTGCACAAGTCGAGCTTACTTGATCGTGTCCATTTCCTCTATTGGGATGGTTTTGGCTGCAAACGGACCTCGCATTTGCCCGGAACGTGCATCTGCCGTGGGGCCCGAAGTTGGATGATTGCTTGCATTATGCTGCGTTCGAGAACCTTCGTTCGTGAGTGGAGTTCCAACAGATTTTACCGACGCAACTTTTCCTTTGGAAATGACGTACACCGTGCAAAAATCGGGCACACCTTTGGTAACGCTGCCCGATATATCCACAGTCTTGAACCTGCTCTGCCCAAAGATTGTAAGTTCCATCCATATTTTATATATATACTTGGGATTCTTCTTATTCTTATTCTGGTCCATATGTTGAAAGACATATATATAATACTAGAATAGGGCAGAATTTGATTACCTGACGAGTCCATTCTTGGCGGAGGAGCCCACGACCAAGGTCTCGATGAAGTTGCTCCTCACGTAATCGCACAGGGCTTTTGCTACGTCTGCATCTTCAAGTGTGACTTCATTTACTTGTATCTACAGTTGAAAATATATAAGAACGTTATATAGATGTATAATACATCCACCTCTTGGTGGACATCCGATAAAATTGGAACGATACAGAGAAGATTAGCATGGCCATGCGCAAGGATGACACGCATAAATCGAGAAATAGTACATATCCGGGGAGCTAGCTAAATGAGAGAAAATTTTTACAAAACTTACGTCCTTTCGGGTGCAAAAGCAGCGGAAAGGAAGGAAGAATTCCTTGGATTGGCTATCTGCACCGACGTGATTCCCCACTGTAAAAGTTTGCATTGCGAGTCAATATAAAAGGAGAGTGAAAAAACGGAAAGAAAAAGAAGGAGATGCTAGTATGCTACGGCCTTGTTACTGAACCATTACGTCGGAGTTTGTAACCGTTAGATCAACTATCCCCAACGGTTACAATGATGATCTAACGGTGACAAACCCCGACGAAATGGTTCGACCGTAGCATTTCCCAAAATAACAAATGGGAGATACATGGAACAGGAGCAGAAGTCTTGAGCTTGACATGGAGGAGGGTGACACTTTTGCCCTTGCCCAGTAGATTATCAACTGCCCATTTCAATGCTGCTTGGCTCCCTTTATCTTTGTCAATTGCTACTACCACAGTTTCTACCTTATTATTGTTCTTTTCACCCCTTTGCCCAGTCATAATTTTCAATTTTATTTTAATTTTTTTTTGAATGAATAAAGAAATATGTTCCTTGTTCTGATTTTCGAGAGGCTTAAGCTTTTGCATAAGAATGGACTCAAATTCTTATTACTTGTTTTTTGCTATTTTTAAGACCCCAAACCCCTCCTTAAAACATGGGTTTTCTCAACACCATGCATTTTGGTCTGCTTGTCCTATGTTTGATGGTGAGGATTGGTGGAATTGATGATAGGTTGAATATATATATATATATATCTCCCGAATTATAGCATGATTACTTGTAGTTATCATGGCTCTAGTTTGACTTTGAGGTATAATTCGGAAGATGCTACGGTCCCGGAATCATTCCGTCGGGGTTTATAACCGATAGATCAACTGTCTTTGACGGTTACCATGATGATCTAACGGTTACAAATTTCGACGAAATAATTCTGTAACGAGAATTTAGCATTTCCCATATACTCCTAAATATTTGGGGAAAAATTCAAAATTAGTCCCACAGGTATAGGGGTTGACATTTTTGGTCCCGACAAAATCCAGAAAATATTAATAGTCCCGCATTTTTTAAAAAATGATCAAAAGTAGGACTTTTTTCAATTTTCCGGCCCGGAATGCCACGTGGCCACATTCATCTGACGTGGCTGAGTACAATGGCAAGGAAAAAAATCAAAATTAGTCCCACAGGTTTTGGGAGGTGACATTTTTGGTCCCAAAAGAATCCATAAAATCTTAAATAGTCCCGCCACGTGTGTGCCACGTGGCATTCCGGGCCGGAAAATTAAAAAAGTCCTACTTTTGATTATTTTTCAAAAGCTGCGGGACTATTAATATTTTTTGAATTCCGTTGGGACAAAAAATGTCACCCCCTGTACCTGTGGGACTAGTTTTGAAATTTTCCCTAAATATTTGAGCAACCCCACCCAAAATCTATAAGAGCGGCTATGCTGGGCCCAATTTAATCTATAAGGGCGCGCGCGATTGGTAACGGATCAAACTTGGTTTTTTATTGGATACTAAGTTGAAGCGAGTTATTTTGGATAAATGTGAACAGAGTTGGTTGAGTGGATGATTTTGAGTTTGTAATTTAAATATATATTTTTAAAAATATAACGATTCTAGTTGATTCGATGTAAAAATATGAAATGTGATTGGAAGTGATGCATGGTTAAAGTTATGCGAGTAGATGAATAATGAATTAAATTTTGATGTTGTGTAATGATAATTGATTGATATTTATTTAATTATAATAAATAATATCGAGGATAGAGATTGAATTAAATTTGAGTTATCAATAGCTACCTACATAACTGTTAAATTTGTGTATTTAATAAATTTGGGTATTTAGTAACCGTGTTTTACAAGTACAATAAGAATAGCAAGAACAATCATTGATGCTTGTCGATGTTATTGCTCTAGTTATCTAGTGCACTCATTGGGCCATATGAATAGTTGAAGCATACTTCCCTTAAATACAAACCAAGTCTTGTTATATCATGTGATTCTTGAACTTGCATACCAAAACTTACTTCTCTTTCAACTTCTATAAAAATTCTTGATGTAGTGTTGATTTTATGCCTATTGTTTTGTTGGTTATTAAAACTAGTGTCGTAACTGAACCGAAGGAGCTGAGCTTGGACATTTCGAGCTCATGTTCATTACTTATATCACATTATTTATTTATGTTATTCATACTATATATATATATAATATGCACATATACATTTTATCTTAAATCTTTAAAGTTTATTTGTAAATTTTTGCAACTGACCCATTGTTTACCCAATGATAAATGTAGGACTGAAATTAACCCAATGATAAAGGTATGGACTAAACTTAACATATTGGTTAATAAATATATAATTATTTATTCTATAGTTGAGCAATATACTTCCATATTAATAAACTTGGAAAATGCTACAATCCTGTTATGAAATCATTCAGTTGGAATTTGTAATCGTTAGACTAATGTAGATGTGCATTTCACGTATCATCAATAAATGTGTAGTTGTCATAATCAGATATCATATCTTAAAAAAAATTAAAAAAATGGACAAAATCTTTAGAAATAATTGATACATATTAAATATTAAAATTAAAATATGTACAAAAAGAGGTCAATGAAAAATAAGAGAAACCAGTCATTGGTCGACATCCGCATGTCAACATTC